TGGTCCCTGCCACCCAAATTGTGTCCTGGGCATTGTCCTGGCAGGGGTGACCAAGCCTGGGGTGGTTCCTGTGGCCCAAAATGGGTCCTGGGCATCATCCTGGCAAAGGGTGACCAACCTTAGACTGGTCCCTAAAACCTGGGGGTGATCTAGCTTGAGTCCTGGGCATTGTCCTGGCAGGGGTGACCAATCTTAGGGGGGTCCCTGCCACCCAAACTGGGTCCTGGCCATTGTCCTGGCTGGGCTGGTCATTCCTTAAACTCCTCCAGGGTGGTGACTGCAGCACCTCCCAGTGCAGGCTCCAAAACCAGTCAGAATGAAAGACTGGCAATGTGGAAATTTGTTCATTTTAGAGGTTCCTGCGCCTCCAGCCCCGGGGAAGCTTTGCCTTTGTTCTCTCCCATATCCAGCTGGGGCATGAAGGATTTTCTGTGTTCTCCCGGCCACATTGCCAGAGTTTTTTTTGGGGGGACAGGGCCCTTGTGACCCCCCAGGCCCCCCAGGAGCTGAGAACTGCTGCTTTCATCACAGGCAGCCTCGTGGACTTCCTCAAGACCTCGGAAGGAGTCAAGCTCAGCATCAACAAACTCCTGGACATGGCAGCGCAGGTGAGGGGGGAGCAGAGAAACGGGGAGAGAGCTGGGAGACCTCCGGAGCTGTTAATTAACAACTGCAATTCATCCATAATTACAAATCCCAGATTGCCGAAGGCATGGCTTTCATCGAGGCCAAGAATTACATCCACAGGGACCTGAGGGCCGCCAACATCCTCGTCTCGGACACTTTGTGCTGCAAAATCGCCGATTTTGGGCTGGCCAGGCTCATCGAGGACAACGAGTACACAGCTCGGGAGGGTGAGCCCCGCCCAGCCCCGGGGGTCACCGGGCTTGGGGACACCGGGAGGGGGACCCGCGGCCAGCCTGGATCCCCGGGGAGCTGCAGGAGAGGGGTGCAAGGATGGATTTTGCCTTTTCCATCTCTCTCCCCCCGCGGCTGGAGTGCTTTGGGGGGGCTCCCGCAGGCTCGGGGGGCTCAGCCACCAGAGCCAGCCGGTGCCCAGGCAGCGACAGAGCTGTCACACGGAATTCAATCAGGTTCCAGCGCTTTATCCTCCCCTTCCCACCGCTTTCCAGGGGCCAAATTCCCCATTAAGTGGACGGCACCCGAGGCCATCAACTACGGGACGTTCACCATCAAGTCGGACGTGTGGTCCTTCGGCATCCTGCTCACCGAGATCGTCACCTACGGCCGGATCCCGTATCCAGGTGAGGATTTTGGGGCAGCTGCGGGGCCGGCACGCCCGCGGTGTGTTGTGTGTGTGTGTGTGTGTGTGTGCGTGTGCATGCAGCGCTGCACGCACGCTGCTGCCAGCCTGGCACCCTGCCCGGCCCGGCTGCACCGGGCACGGTGGCCAAAGCCACCTGGGGAGGGGATGGAGGGGATGGGAGGGGATGGGAGGTGCCCCCCATGCGGGGTTTGGGAGGGTGGGGAGAGGTACCTGCCACCCAAAATGGGTCTTGGGCATTCTTCTGGCAGAAATGACCAATCCTGGGGTGGTCCCTAAAACCTGGGGTGACCCAAACTGAGTCCTGGGCATTGTCCTGTCAAGGGTGACTGAGCTTGGGGTGGTCCTTGCCACCCAAATTGGGTCCTGGGCATTGTCCTGGCAGGAATGACCAACCCTGGGGTGGTCCCTGCCACCCAAACTGGGTCCTGGCCATCCTCCTTGCAGGGGTGACCAACCCTGGGGTGGTTCCAGTGACCCAAACTGGGTCCTGGCAGGGGTGACCAACCCTGGGGTGGTTCCAGTGACCCAAACTGGGTCCTGGCTGGGATGCCCAACCCCAGGGTGCCACCCACACCATGGGGATGACCCGAATCGGGTCCTGGCAGGGATGACCAACCCCGAGGTGATCCAGAACCTGGAGCGTGGCTACCGCATGCCGCAGCCGGACAACTGCCCGGCGGAGCTGTACGAGCTGATGAGGCAGTGCTGGAAGGAGAGCCCCGAGGAGCGCCCCACCTTCGACTTCATGAAGAGCGTGCTCGAGGACTTCTTCACCGCCACCGAGGGCCAGTACCAGCAGCAGCCCTGAGGGTGCTGCTGTGGGGTGCTGGGGGTGCCCCACAGACCCCACGGACCTCACCCAGGCTGGGGTGGGGAGCTCTGTGAGGATTTGAAGTGCTCCAAAGCTTGGGAGAGCAGATTTGAGTCCTCCAGGAGGAGCTGCAGACCCCCAAAGCTTGGGGCATGGCGCAGATGTCCTCAGGGTGCCCACCCTGCCATCCCTGCTCTTCCCAGAGGGAAAATCCAGGCTCCAGCCCCCCAGGGCTCTCCTGCCCCACTCTTGTGTCCCTTTCACCCCCTTTTGGCTTCATGAAGAGCGTGCTCGAGGACTTCTTCACCACCATGGAGGGCCAGAACCAGCAGCAGCCCTGAGGGTGCACCTGTGGGGTGCCCCACAGACCCCATGGACCTCTGAGGGGTCCAGGATGAGGGGGGAGCTCTGTGAGGATTTGAAGCATTCCAAACCTTGGGGGCTGCAGATTTGAGTCCTTAAGGAGGGGCTGCAGACCCCCAAAGCTTGGGGCATGGCACAGGTGCCCTCAGGGTGCCCACCCTGCCATACCTGCGCTTCCCAGAGGGAAAATCCAGGCTCCAGCCCCTCAGGGCTCACCTTCCCCATTCTGTGCCCCCTTCACCCACCTTCGACTTCATGAAGAGCATGCTTGAGGATTTCTTCACTGCCATGGAGGGCCAGTCCTTGAGGGCTCTGCTGTGGGGTGCCCCACAGCCTCCATGGATGTCTGAGGGGTCCAGGATGAGGGGAGAGCTCTGTGAGGATTTGAAGCATTCCAAAGATTGGGGACTGCAGATTTGACTCCTCCAGGAGGGGCTGCACAGCCAAAGCAGTCCCCCAAAATCTGGGGCATGGCACAGATGCTCTCAGGGTGCCCACCCTGCCATCCCTGCGCTTCCCAGTGGAAAATCCAGGCTCCAGCCCCTCAGGGCTCTCCTGCCCCGCTCTGTGCCCCCTTCACTCCCTTGGGATGGCAGGAACCCCCCCCAGCAGCGCTGGCCACCGCACCCCGCGGCTGCTGGAGCTCCCTCTGCCCTCACGGCGTGCGCAGGAGAATTTTACAGCGACTTTGGGGAAATAAAGGCATTTTCAGCAGCGGGGGCCAGGCTGCCACGGGGTGCGGCACGCGGGGCGATGCCCACAGCACACGGACCCCACCGGCACCAACCCACCCCAGGGAGCCCCTGCGACCCCCGGGACCCCCCCTCAGCCCTGGTAGCCACCCCTGGCCCTTCACTCGCCCAACCTGCCCTGGCTCCCCCCTCCCCTGGGATGGTTCAGCCCCACCTGCCCCCCCCACCCCACCAAGGGAATGGTTCCTCCCTGCCCACCTGGACCCTCGATGGTACAGCCACCACCACCCCCCCATCCCCCGCCGCAGTGGTACAGCCCAAGCACCCCCGGCGCTCAGCCTAACTTGCTAGGTGCCGCTGCGCCTTGCCATTGGCCAGCGGGCGGGAGGGGGAGGAACGGAGAGCTGCGATTGGCCGGCGCGGCGCGGGGGGCGGGCCCGCGGGCCCGGGGCGGGCGGGGTTGGGTGCGCGGCGCGGCGGCGGGTCGGGCGCTGTGAGGGGAGGCAGGAAAATGGCGCTGACGCAGGGCACGAAGCGCAAAGTCTGCTACTACTACGATGGTGAGGAGCTGCGGGCACCCCCTCGGGGCTGCCGGGCCGCGGGGGAGCCGTCCTGGGGCGGGGGGGAGGGGGGGATGAGGGGGCATCGCGGACGGAGGAGGCGGGGGTGAGGGGTGAGGGGTCATGAGGCGGTAATGGAGAGGGGGGTGAGGGTAATGGGGTCACTGAGGGAGGATGGGGGTGCTGGGGGTGGGATGAGAGGTTGGTAATGGGGGATCGTTGGGGTCATGGAGGTGAGGGGGTTGAGAGGTTTTGGGATGGGTGTTGGGGGTATTGATGGGCGGGGACGGTCGGGGAATGGGGATCAGGGGTTGTGTGGGGTTTTTAATGGGGTTGAGAGGCGTAGGGAGCGTGTGGGGGGCATGGCAGGGGTATGGGGAGAGCTGGAGAGGAGAATGGGAAGAGTGGAGGGAGATCGGGGGGTGGGATGGGGAAATTTGGGAGATTGGGGGAAGATCAGGGGGTTGGGATGGGGAGATTTGAAGATTTGGGGGAAGATCAGAGGGATGGGATGGGGAAATTTGGGGTTTTGGGGGAAGATCAGGGGTTTGGGATAGGGAAATGTGGGGATTTGGGGGAAGATCAGGGGGATGGGGAAATTTGGGGATCTGGGGATTTGAGGGAGTATCAGGGAAATGTGGGGATTTGGGGGAAGGAACAGCGGGATGGGGAAATTTGGGGATCTGGGGATTTGAGGGAATATGGGGGAAATGTGGAGATCTGGAGGAAGATCAGGGGGATGGGGATTTGAGGGCATATCAGGGAAATGGGGGTTGGGATGGGGAAATGTGGGGATTTGGGGATTTGAGAGAAAACCAGGGAAATGTGGGGATTTGGGGGAAGATCAGGTGTTTGGGATGGGATGGGGAAATGTGGAGATCTGAGGATTTGGGAGATGGGAAAGGCTGGGAAGGGTCTGGGCTTGGTGAGAGGGGCTGGAGGCCAGGAGAGAGTCTTTTTGGGTGCTGAGGTGCTGGAGGAGGATTTTGGGCTCTGAGGAGGATGAGGCACTCCTGGGACAGCGTTTTTTTGGGGTCAGCAGGGGCCAAAAAGCTTTTGGGAGCCAGGGTGGCTGTGTGCAGGCAGCTCCTGCCAGGAGCATCCTCCAGCTGTGCCTCTGGAGTGTGGATGGTGGCTCCTTTTGGGGCTGCCTCAGCATCCCTGTGCAGCAGGGAAGGAACAAATCCCAAATCCCAAATCCCTGGCTGTCCTGTGGGGCTGAGCAATCCCAGTGCTGCCCCTCTCCCTTCCCCTGCTCCTTTTTCGCTGCCTCTGTGCTCACCTTGTGCCACAGGCCTTGTGCAATTCTCTGCTCCCACACGGTTTTTGGCCTGAAATCAAATAAAAAACTTCTTCTTGCTACTTTTTCCCCCTCTCTAAGGAAGGAGGCTTTTCCAAATCCTATGCTCAGAGCTTTTTTTTCCCCCTCTAAAAATGTCGTTTTTTTCCCTTCAAATAGGAGGTTCTCAGCCCTGCTGGGTTATAATTTTTAAAGGCATTGAATTATATCTGAAATATGAAATAAGCAGTTGTTTTGTTTGAAATGCTGCTGCCCTGCAGGTCTTTGCTGCACAAGAATTTCACCAATTTGGGTTCCATACTTTGTGGTGAGCTTTTAGTGCCATTTTTTAAATTTTTTTTTTTCCTTTTTACTGTTCTTTTCTGAGCAGCTTTTCAACGTCCACAGCTGAGGGGTAAAAAGCTGCTTTTACTGAGAGGAAATAAATAATTTGTTGATTGGAGCCTTTTCTTTTCCACGCTGGGAGGCTGGAACCAGCCTAACCTGCTGTGGGAATTCCCTGAATTTCATGGGATGAAGGAATTGGGGTCCTTCCCTGCACTCCTGAGTGGCTGAGGAAAGATTTGGGTGGAATTTCTCCATTCAGAGCCTCCTGATGGAGGGATTTGTTTAACCCCAGCAGAGCCTGCTCAGTTCACACTCCTTAATCTGCTCTGACGTCCAGGAGCAGCTGAGCTCATCCAGGGATCCACAGGGCTTGGGATGTGCTCAGCACAGGGAACAGGAGCTCAGGGTTGGCCCAGGGCATTCCCTGGACAGCTGATGGGGATTTTTGTAAAAGCTTCTCCGAGTTCTGTGCTTCTATTTCCTATGTACAGCCTCAAACATCTCTTACAAGTTCCCCAAATCTTGATTTAGAGGTAGTAAAATCCGTCCCTAAAACACGGCAGGATGGTTACACCAGCACGGGTTGCCAAAATGTGAGAAAACAGAATTATTTTCAGTGAGAAAAAAAGTGATTTTACCTGAAAAAAAAATTCTATTTACTGAAAGAACATCTCCCCAGAGCTCCACAGACAGGTCAATTCCAGCAGCAGACTTGCCTGGATGTGGGATTTGCACTTTTGGCATCTCATTTTCCTACCTGGAAATAGATCCATGTCCACAGGAGGAAGAAAAACTGCTTCTGCTGAAGGTGGAGAGTGGTGATGAAATGTGAATTCTCCCCTCTGAGTCACCGGCCAGACCGGCTTGGATCCCCTGCTTCCCAAAAGGAGCAGGAGTTGTTCCAGCCCAGGAACAGCTTGGGCTGGTTTCCCAGGAAAATGAAGCTTGGGAGAGATTCCTGCTCCCTGCAGCCAAATCAGGCAGAAATCTGAAAGGGAAATTCCTGTGAAATTCAGGGAAATGAGTGCCCCTGGGAAAGGAGGTGGAATAAAAACCCCATTTATCAGTGAGGTGTGAGCTCAGTTTGGAGGAGAAAATCCACGTGGGGAGGTGACTTTGTTCCCCATGTCCCATAAAACAATTCCTGGCGGGTGGCTGGAAAGGCCTGGGAATCCTCTGGAGGATTTGAAGGGATCAAAAGGGGTGAAACCAAGTGTGGAGCTGTAAAAGCAGAGCTGGGTGGTGTTTGCAGAGTCCAGAGTTCCCTGGATCCCGTTTCCCGTGGGTAAACAGGAGGAAAGTGAGGCACAGGCCGGGTGTTCCTGGGCTGAGTCATTGTCTGAGCTGGGATTAACTCCAGGGCTCCTGCTCCCTGCACCCCCTGGAACTTGGGGCCACTCAGCCCTGAGCTCCTCCGGCCCAAAATTTTGGAGATTTTCCCTCTGTGCTGCTGGAGTGGTTTGGGTTGGAAGCTGATCCAGCACCAGTGATCCAATTCCAGCCCCTTCCCTCCTGCTCCCTGCACCCCCTGGAACCTGGGGCACGTCCCTGCCACTCAGCCCTGAGCTCCTCTGACCCAAAATTTTGGAAATTCTCTTTCTGTACTGCCACAGCCATGGAATGGTTTGGATTGGAAGCTGCTCCAGCACCAATGATCCAATTCCAGCCCCTTCCCTCCTGCTCCCTGCACCCCCTGGAACCTGGAACCACTCAGCCCAGAGCTCCTCTGGCCCAAAATTTTGGAGATTTTCCCTCTGTGCTGCCACAGCCATGGAATGGCACCCCCTGGAACATGGGACACATCCCTGCCACTCAGCCCTGAGCTCCTGACCCAAAATTTTGGAGATTTTCCCTCTGTACTGCCACAGCCATGGAATGGTTTGGGTTGGAAACTGCTCTAGCACCAGTGATCCAATTCCAGCCCCTTCCGAAAGGCAGGGACACCTTGCACTGGTGGAATTCAAAATTCCCAACCCTGAATCCATGGATATCCCTGAGCCGGGAAGGTGGGAGAGGAGGAGAAACAAATCCCAGAGGAGCTGATGATTCCCTCTGCACTCCTTTCTGCTTCCAGGGGATGTTGGGAATTATTATTATGGCCAAGGACATCCCATGAAACCCCACAGGATCCGCATGACCCACAACCTCCTGCTCAACTATGGGCTCTACAGGAAGATGGAGATCTATGTGAGTTCTGCTGCTCATTATTGCATGTCACCATTCTTGTTTCAGGCTTTAATTGGAGCTTTTTCTCTGACAGGAAAGGAATAAACCCCAGTCAGTTGTACTGATGTATTTGTGGTTTCTTCTCAGGGGTGAAGTGAGGGGTTCTGTGCTTCAGAGAGGCTTTGGAGACTGGAAAACTGTTTTTTATCCTTGAAATTCAATTTATTTCCATTTTTGCATATGTAACACTCGCCAGCAGTGCCGTTCTTGCCCTCCAAATTCATTTTTTCTGATTTAACACTGCTGCTTTGATACTTTTCACAGCTCCTGGGGGTAAATCTGGGGCTGGAGGTGGGAATGAGGGGGGAATGAATCCCAGAGCAATCCTTGCTGTGTTGCTGTCCTTGCAGCGTCCTCACAAGGCCAATGCAGAGGAGATGACCAAGTACCACAGCGATGATTACATCAAATTCCTGAGGTCCATCCGCCCTGACAACATGTCTGAGTACAGCAAGCAGATGCAAAGATGTGAGTGATGCTGCAGCTGAAAATCTGGCAATCCCAGCCCAGCTCCAGAACTTTGGGATAAACTTCTCTCACTTCTTGTTCTCCTGACTTGGCTTTTTTAGATTTTTCTGGTGAATAAAGCATTTTTTAAAACAGGTTCTTCTCTCAGGCTAAAGGAGCTGAGGGAAATCCTTCGACCTGGTGGTATTTTGGTTTTTTCTCGTTGCCTAAATTCCTTTCCTGGCTTGGAGATGACAGAATTTTTCCATTTCTGACCTGTGTGGATTTTGTGTTAGTGCTCATCTTCAACCAGAAGAGTTGGAGCATTTAAAACCAGCAAATTAAAAAGCCCCAACCTCTCAATTCTGAAGGATTTTCAGGGCAGTGGCAGCTTGGAAATGGGGCATAATCATCAATACCTGATGATTTTATAGATTAATTGTGAGCTGATGTCTTGTTCCAACCTCTGCAATCCATGGAGAGGCTCTTTAATGGTACAGAAACCCGGATTTGGTGTCTCAGGCACTCTGAGCTGATGGCTTTTTTTGACAAAATAGATTTCTAACAAGCCCAGACAACCAGTGGGGAGAGCTCAAGCTTCATTTAAACAACATTTCACTCTTGGAAACCCCCTGGGAGCTGAAGGGGACAGATATTTCTGCACAAGGTTCATGATTAATACACACTGAAAGCCTCCCCCCAGTCCCTGATTTTCTTTAATCCACCAAATGACATCCAGCAAAATGGATTTTTTTACCCAAACTGATCTGTTTACCCCTGGAGCAGCCACAGCTCGTGAACACTCTGCTCTCTCTAGTGCTCAGTGTTTTCTGCACTGTTTTTATTCCTGAAAAAGCCAAAATGTGAAAATTAAACATACCAAGGATTGAGCTTTTCTTCAACAAAACCTGCTGGAAAGGGAATGAACAGTCTCTAATTCCATTTTTTGCATGCCAGACTTGGGCAGAGTAAATCAAAGGGCCTGAGGTTTAATTTCTTGTAATGAATAGCTATTTTTAATAGTGGAATTAATTACAGTAAAAATTTAGTGAAGGTGAAACTCCAGTTGTGCTGAGAAGCCAAAACTGTGATTTGAAGTTAGAGGCGTGTGCAAAGTGTCAGCCACACATTTCCATTGCATCATGTGATCACAGCATTTTGTTTAACACTTTTGGCCACTTTTCAAATCCAAATGTTGGTGTAAAATTTGGGGTTTATTTCTGCTTTTATTTGAACGACTCTTTTCCATTCTCTTCCAGTTAATGTTGGGGAGGACTGCCCTGTGTTTGATGGGCTCTTTGAGTTCTGTCAGCTCTCTGCTGGAGGCTCTGTTGGTAAGATCACAGATCCTGTGTGTTTTTTATTGTGTTTCATATTCTGTCTCTGCGAACCTGTTGTTGATTTAACAACGAAATCCAGATTTCTCCAAGCTTTGCCTGTTGAATTCCTTTCCATTTGTTAATCACTAGTTTGGGTTACATCACTGCAGGTGTGAATGGCTCTGTAACATCACCAGTGAGTTAAAGCAAAAACAAAAAATTAAAAACAGAGTTAAAACAAAACCACAACAGCACGGTTAAATTGAAAAAAAAAAAAACAAAAAAACAAAACCAACTTGAGCTTTACATTGAAATAAAAGTTGTAAAAGTCTCACTCTGAGCAGGCACAACCAGGAAAGGAAAGACCAGGGTGATTTAGCTGCTGTTCTTAAAAAACCACAACTCTGGACATGAGGCAAAGCAGAAACTGAAAGGTTTGAGAGCTGGAACATTGAAATGTTTTTTTATTTTCTCACAAGTCCCAGCAAAGCTGTTTGTGTGCACAGCCTGAGAGCTTTGTGGCTGTGCTGCCACAATGACACCTCCAGCCTGTATTTCCTGTGCCAGCAGCTCCCCAGCACTGACTGCAGCAGGTTCTGAAGCAGCTCCGTGCTCCCTCTGCTCCCAGGCTGGAGAATTCCACAGAATTCCTGGTTTTTTTGGATCCTGGCAGATTGCAGAACGTGCACAAAGTTGGTGGAAGGGGCTGGGGGAGGAGAACTTCCACTCAATGACCTGAATTTATCTCAGCTAAAACCTTGATCTCTTCAGGCCTCTGAGAAATCCTGATTTTCTCCCTTGTGGCCCCAGCTGCCTGCTGGGTTTGTGGGGATTTTCCTGCTCTGAGGCAGAAGTGGGAACGATGAGAAATATTTAATGAGAGAAATCTTAGATGATGAGAAACATTTCCTGTTTTCCCTTGCTTTGTGGGGACACCCAGAATCAAACCCTTGAGGTAAAACAGAAACTTTAAGGAATTTAGAGATTTTAGAGGAGCTAAGATTTTAGTTAGAGATAAGCCTTACTAGAGTTAATTAAAATAAATTAGTAGGTCTTGGTGAAGTTCAGAGTTAGTAGTTAACTAATAACTGATTGCTTGTCAGCACAATGTTGAGTTAGCTGGGTTTATAATGAAGAATACACAAACTGACAAAGAGCTTTTAGAACATCAGACAATTGTGGCCTCCTCTGTTCTGAAACCAACTGAAGACAAGGAATGAGAGTTCTACCAAGAGTTCATTTGTCATATTGGCATTGGAAAGGCAGAAAGGTCAGGAGGAGGAAGACTTCATTGACTTCCTCATCTTGGGACCCCTCCCCATGAAAGGGACACCGACCCATTCCAAGGAAAAAATTAAGCATGCTTAATAACTTTTTGAAATTATTAGCATAGGAAGTGAGGAAGGGGATGTACCAAAATGATGAATATGTATTTGTATTTTGGGTATTCAATACCTGGATGGATAAAAGGGTTCTGTAATCACCTGGAAAGTGTGGTGTGGACACAATAAACACACACTTTCTAACTTTAAACTGTTAGAGAGTTTTTGTCCATCAAAGTTGGATATCAGTACTAGATCAATATCCATATTTAAGAATTCAGAGCAGGAGCTTTGTAAACAGACACTTTTGAACTTTAAACTGTTAGAGAGTTTTTGTCCATCACAGTTGGGTATCAGTACTAGATCAATAATCATATTTCCTTAATAATTCAGACATTGTAGCTTTGTAAACACACACTTTCCAATGTTAAACTGTTAGAGAGTTTTTGTCCATCACAGCTGGGTATCTGTTCTAGATCAATATCCATATTTCTTTAATAATTCAGAAATTGTAGCTTTGTAAACACACACTTTCTAACTTCAAACTGTTAGAGAGTTTTTGTCTGTCACAGTTGGGTATTGTCCTAGATCAATATCCAGGTTTCTTTAAGAATTCCCACCGACCCATTTCAAGGAAGAAACTACACATGCTGAATAGTTTTTGAAATTATTAGCCTATGAAATGAGGAAGGGGGTGTACCAAAATAATGAATATGTATTTTGGGTATTCAATACTTGGATGGATAAAAGAGTGAATGCTCTCCAATCACCTGAAAGGCACGGTGTGTATTTGGGAACTATCCCACACACAATAAACATAAACTTTCTAACTTCAAACTGTTACAGAATTTCTGTCCAGCACAGTTGGGTATTGGTACTAGATCAATATCCGTATTTCTTGAAGAATTCAGAGCAGGAGCTTTGTAAACACACAGTTTCTAACTTTAAAGTGTTACAGAGTTTTTGTGTATCACTGTTGGGTATCGGTTCTAGATCAATATCCAGATTTGTTAAATAATTCAGAGCAGGAGCTTTGTAAACACACACTTTCTAACTTTAAACTGTTATAGAATTTTTGTCCATCACAACTGAGTATCGGTACTAGATCAATATCCATGTTTCTTTAATAATTCCGAAATTGTAGCTTTGTAAACACACACTTTCTAACTTTAAAGTGTTACAGAATTTTTGTCCATCACAGATGTGTATTGGTACTAGATCAATATCCAGATTTCTTTGAGAACTCAGAGCAGGAGCTTTTGGAGCCCCACACAGCCCGGGGAGGAGCCCCCCAGGCTGTGTCTCTCCCCTCCCTGTGATCTCTGTGATCCCTCTCCCCTCCCTGTGATCTCTCTCTCTCCCTGTGATCTCTCCCTCCGATCTCTGTCTCCCTGTGATCTCTGTGATCCCTGTGCTCTCTCCCCGTGCTCTCTCTCCGTGATCTCTGTGATCTCTGTGATCTCTATGCTCTCTCCCTGTGATCTCTGTGATCCCTGTGCTCTCTCCCCATGCTCTCTCCCTGTGATCTCTGTGATCCCTGTGCTCTCTCCCCATGCTCTCTGTGCTCTCTGTGCTCTCTCCCTGTGATCTCTGCCTGTGATCTCTGTGATCCCTGTGCTCTCTCCCCATGCTCTCTGTGCTCTCTGTGCTCTCTCCCTGTGCTCTCTCCCCGTGATCTCTCCCTGTGCTCTCTCCCCATGCTCTCTGTGCTCTCTCCCCGTGATCTCTGTGACTCTGTGATCTCTGTGCTCTCTCCCCGTGCTCTCTGTGACTCTGTGATC